TATTATTATTATTATTATTATTATTATTATTATTATTATTATTATTATTATTATTATTATTATTATTATTATAATTAATATCATTACCATTATTATTAATATCATTACTATTATTGTTAATAAGTGCATCATTCTCATTGATATTAGTGATAGTATCCGCAGAAGCAGTAACATCAGCAATGGATCCCATCCGAGAAAAATTATAATAAATCAATAAAAATAATGTAAAAATACAGATCACCAAATACCATAAATATCTTTTGTGTCTAATTGAAGTCATATTACGCATTCGACCCACTGTGCTTGTTAGTGTGCCTTTTAATGACGTGTATGAGATGCCCTGTTAAAGAAAAAAGTCGCAGAAATGTCAATTAATTTGTCATTCATGAATAAAAATGGAATGAGAAAACTTACAGTTTCGTCAATTAAGTTTACTTGATTGTTTACTTCATCATAGATTTCAACATTGATCTAAGTAAATTTTAATCTCCAATAAATTAATAATCCAAAAAAAAAACACTTGATAATTTCTCACGACAAAAACTTGTTAACTCTCACGTTACCTTATGCAAGACAGAAAGTTTAGAAGAAAGTTCTTCTAAGCTAGAGTCATTTTGCTGTTCATATGTTCTTGCTGTCGACGCTTCAATTTCTCGTTGTGTTAGAAGGGAGGATGACTTGTCATTTTTGAAACGAGTCTCGCCCTTGTTACCAGTACTGTTGCTCGCTCCGTTGAAGAGTAAATTTTCTCGATTTGTATTTTGAGTAGACCTTCTTGAGGAAAATTACGAAATTTATGTGAGAAAAAGGAAAGAATGAAGAAGCATAATAAAGATGATTCAAATTAAGCAGAAAGAACTAACCACATTGTAAAAGTTCGAGAGATTATAATAAAGCGTTCACGTAAATTTTTATGTATAATAAATTAAGCTTTTGATTGGTTGGAGAATAGGTATTACCACGAAATAAAAAGTAAGCACGTGTGGATCATTGTTATTGGTAAACAAACGTTTGTAAGTTTATCTTATTTCTGCTTTTTAGAAAATGCTTCAATTTTTGCGAAAATGGTCAATACAGGAAAACCCACTTCCTCCAAAAAGAAAGCGGGTACAAGCGTGTCTGTCGTGTCTAAATCCTCGAAATCCTCTTCCGCTACCTCTGCATCTTCTTCTGCTACTACAAAATCAACAGCTTCATCAAACATAACTGGAAATAGTGGCTCAAGCTCCAAAAATGGAGCTGCACCAATCAAAATTAGGATACCACCACCAAAAAAACAAACCACCTCAAGTACCACCCCCAGTGTTACATTGGCATCCTCTTCTAATAATATTTCTACAGCAGTGTCTGCAAACGCTAAATCTAAAGTACCAGCACCAACTGGACCCTCCTCTGCAGTTCCGCATGCGGTGGGCGAAAACGTCAAACATGAAACCGAGGAATCTGAGGAAGAAATAGCAGAACCACCAAGAGAAGAACATTTTATATTAAGGATATCTGGTCTTCCTCAAGAGTCACAAGAAAAGTTCAGAGAACAAGCAAGAAAACGACTCCTATTTGATGACTTGTCAATTTTGTTTAAAGGTAAAATTCTTGGCTTAAACAAAAAAAATTTTTTTCTCAAAATTCTTGCAAAAAATTGAACGCTTGTAAATGATTTTTATTACAAAAATTATACAATATATGTGCAAATAAACAACAAAAAATAAACTCACTATTTGAAAAAAATTTTTTTATTGTAATCGAATCGTAATGCTCGATGATTTATTCGCTAATTTTCAAGTATGCTTTTAACTTTAGACCCCCGTCATGCCATATTCTCATATGATAAAGAAAAGTACAGTGCAAGGCTGGTGGATCTTCCATGTATTATTGAATCTCAAAAGACGCTGAATAATAAACAATTCTATAAAATCGCTGATGTTTCACAGGTTTATTTTATCTCTTTTTTTAATCTCAATCGATTGACGGTAACCATTCTATCAATCCAACAAAACTCATTTGTTTATTAATTTCCAAACAAAACAAAAAAAGATGTTAGTAGTTGAATCTCCGATCTCCGATGAGTCTGAATTGAAAGCTAGTATGCAATGGGATGAATTTCTATGGCCAGATGGATTATCGCCTCCATTAAAAAATGTTCGAAAACGAAGATTCCGAAAAAGATTTTCGAATAGAGTAAGAAGTCGACGTTTTTCTAATGTGAAAATCTATTTTTTGGAAATTGAATTATATAAATGAAATGTTATCTTTAAAATAGAATATTGAAGAGATTGACAACGAGGTTGAGAGACTCTTAACGTTGGCTAAAGCGGCTACAAGCATTAGTTATGGTAAAAATATTATTCGTGATAATATTAACTTTTATCTCGTAATCAGTTGAAAATAATTATTGGCCATTTTTATGCCACACAATTACAGAGTTAACCGAAATTGAAGATTCCGAGGTTGAAACACCTGGTCCTGATGGAGAGGATCGAATGGACGGTGAATTTGAAGGACTGGAAATTGGGGATGAAATCGACTCTGATGGAGAAGAAGCAGGTGCAGCCTTGCAGCGTGAATTAGAGATGATGGATGTTGAAGATGAACGTACCGTTGCATCTGATAATGAAGAGGAGGAGGAAGATGATGAAAGTGACGAAGACAGTGATGATTCTTCAGAGAGTGGTAAGATTTGTATAATTATTTTTAAGTATTTATGACAGGAAGTATAATCATTAATATTTATTTATTCACAATAAATAGAAGAGGAAACTGAAGAGGATTTAGAGCAAAAAAGAAAAGAATTAGAGGATCAGATAACGACAAATGAGTCAGCAATTCAAGGAAAGCATAATCAATTGGCCAACACAGTTAACACAATTATCAAGGTAGCTTTATTATCAATTTCGCACTCTTTTTCATCCATGTTTTATTCAATTAATCATCCTTCATTTGTAGAAACGATTCGAAGAAACGATAGAAAAATTAACGGCCGATATAGAATTGAAAAAGATTCAATTAGATGAGGTTAAACGTAAATTAGAGGCTAAAAGAGCATCTACTTCAATATCGTCGTCGTCTTTAACTGATGAACAGCAAAATTATGAGGATGAGGAAGAATACGAGGAAGGTGATTCAATGGTTGGAAGTATTATTACTCCGATTTAATAAAGGATTTTTGTAAATATTACTATTAAGTTTTAAATGTCAGAAGCACGATCTCCTTTCTCTAGAATGAATTATTTGGTGGTAAGAGTAAAAAATGAGTAACCGTAGATTTCCTTATTATATAAGCAATACTATATATAGCCCATGATAACATCATTAATATTATTATTCCTAATAGCAAATGATTGAGCTGTCCATTTCTCTTGATTATATTAACGCTTATTCTTGCCATTAATCAAAAAAAATGAAAAACTCGATTAACCAGATCGAGCGCTAGTGGGTGTCAAGGGTAATAGTGCGGCAGCTACTCGTCTTCCCTCCTCAGACAAGAACCGAAAGTTTGCTACAGCATTATTCTATAAAAAAATATCCGGGTTAGATTATCGATTCGGATTGAGCCTAAATCTCGGTCCAATACATTTTTTGATTATACTTACTGTGCTCATCATGTCAAGTTGCATCCCTAATCTACGTATATAATCCCGAAGTGAATGCGGAAGTGGTAAAAGGGTGCTTCCAGTTCCAAAGATTATCATTTCAGGTTTTGGTACAATCACTTCGAAGATTTTCAAGCATTCTGGAGTCCAATTTTCGAAAGGCGAAGAAGGATAGTTGCGTTCTTTGTCCTGAGGCACATCCCACAAAAATGCATAACCATTCAATAATAAAACAGGTCCACGTAAATATATATTATCTGTAGTTACGAATCCATCCTTTTTTATTGTTTTGATCAAGGTTGTGGCTCTTATTGCGGAATCGTCATACATGTTACGAAAAGCTGAAGCCAAGGGTGTTGGTATTATAGTATCTGACTTGGGTGGAGTCTCGAAATATGTTTCATTTTCTATCCCCTTTTTCTCGTTTCGGCTTAATGATTGCGAATAGTGAAGAAACCGCGGAGAGAATATAGAAGCAGGGGAAATTAAAGTGTTTTTTGAGTGAGACAATATAAGTCGTTGAAACATTGTTTTATAAAGAAATAAAATGAGTCATCACGATCTACATTTTGTTTTATTGTTACAACCAATAGGATTCTCAGTTATAGAATATTTTGTTACGGAAGAGGAGATCATAGCCAATTGGGATCTAAATCTTCTCGCGCAATTGTCGTCAGCTTATTTTCAGAATCAGAGGGAAGAATTTGTACTCCATTTTGCATTTGAACTACTGTGCTATTTCCAAAAATTTGTTCCGCTTCACGTTGTAATTCTTCTGGGTCATCATTCTCGCTGTTTATCTCATAATTCTCAACATTTTCATCGTCCGATCTCAATTTTCTAGAGATAAGTTCGAAAGTTTGATCGATTATGGCATGAATCACATATTCATATAGCTTACATCCTATAAAGAAAAGAAGTTGGTGGCCGATTTAGTAAAAAAAAAAAAGGTGGTTAAGTCATCTCTATAGTCACATGTTCACGACCATAGCGATAAAGATGATTTATTTCCAAGTAGTTTGGGAAATAAAGTGTGACTAGTTAGAGGTTTCATAAGATGCGACTATAGAGAAAGTGACTATACGGGGGGACGACCGTATTTTTCTAGTGTTAATGATATGGTTAAAAATACCTGAAGAGTAGTTACCACAACCAAATCTAGGATCAATAATTTCTGTGAGTATTGGTTCGTCAGCAACAACCCAGTTCCGACAATGCTGAAAAACATATGATACTATTTAATATACTCAGGTATAATCAATTAGATGAAGGAATAATTTGCATATTTATGTACTTCTCTAATCCAAACTTTGATCGAATCTTTCTTTACATAATCAATCGAATGGGTGGTCGCAGCAAGTTCAATTGCCTTTACCCTATGTCGAAGTTCTTCAACTATGATAAAAATATTGGTGAGAAAATTCCACGAGAAAAATTAACTGAGAAATCGACGGTATCACCTACAGTTTTTTCGCATCAAATCAATGGCGCAATAACCTCCATAGCTATTTGCGATGATGAAAATCTTTTTCGCTGCTGATGGTCTAAATAGTTCTTAATATGTTATTCAATAAATGCATACTTGTATGTTTCAAGATAGAAAACTAATACCAGAAAGTTCACCAACTTACTGTATGAAATGTTTATAGACATAATCTAAATGCGCTTCGGGCGATTCATTTTCTTCATATGTTACCAAGAGCATGGTTGATATTTATTATTCGAGTAAAGATGAACAAAGATTAATTTGTTGATCTCTTTACCTGGTATGGGATCAAATGGAACTGTGGCCTTAGGAAGAGTCACCTAGATAGAGATCAAGCAAGTTAATTAATATAGAAATAAATCAAATTCAAGAAACGATAATATAATTATTATTTATGCTTACCACAGCTCTGCCTTTATACCAATAAATTTCATTAGGATTTGTTATGACAACAGAACATCCAAGACTCCTTGCTCGTTCGGTGTATCTCAACATTCCACCCTCCTACAAGAATTCTTCATTAACATATATTTAAAAATAAAAACTAATAAGCAATCATACATTGATTGAATGTTCCGTTAACATTCGGCGAGACCAAAGACCAGATCTTTAAATTTAAGAATAACGGTTTGTTAGCCAAGAATAAACAATAATATTATACACGGAAAGAAGTTAATTTACGCGTGAAATGTGCCAGGAATGAAAATGCACATGTTTTCGTTCGTCATGTAATCAGGACTATAGGTCGGTCAATAGCAAAATAAGATCAGTATTTACGCGTCGGAGTATATGATAAAAAAATTCGATTATTCAAACCTTAAAAATATATGTGTATGGATATCATTCTCGGTCACACCGATAGGGAGTATAGTTTTAACAAGACCACATCGATTTTGTAGATTCGCACGAACCTGTCTACCAAGTGCCTCTAATAATATTGTAAATGGAAGATAAGTATGTTAAAAAGCTCATCAGCGATTAACTACGAAAACCCGTACTTGCCTATAAGAGCTTCATATAATGCTTCGTTATACGCCTTATCCTCTTCTAAGTAATACAAAACTTTAATATTGTTAAGATTAACCAACAAATTGGTAGCTAAACCTCCTACTTTTTACTTCAAAGACGTATGGTTGTCCTAAACAATTACAAATGTTGTTACGAACAAAGCTATATAACTTTCAATGAAAAGTGAAAAAAGAGATATATACCATCTAAAGTCACCACTTTTTCATTCTCGTCAAGTTTATAGCCAAGCTCTTGGAGGTCATAGGGTAAAACTAGTTTTTCTTTTTTGGAAGATTTCTTTTTCCTAAACATCTTCTCGAGGTGAAGCTTTTTCTAATCTAAAAAATCTAAATATTTTCATCGACCAATAGTAACAGTCGAATTAATCGATAAATTGTTAGCCGGTTTCCCGATATACAACATGCAACAACAACAAAGAAGTCGCGCAAAAGATTTATTACGAAATTATTATGGATTAGCTGATGTTGAGAAAAAGCAAGTTAATCCTCTAGATATTGATAGCAATTCTTTTGAGCCAGAAAAATATTTCAATAAATTAGTGACGGAAAAGCAGCTGTCTGAATTGATACAGCAAGACAATGATTTGATTACGGAAATTCGTCAACTGAATGGTGATATGGAGACCCTGGTCTACGAGAATTATAATAAATTTATAAGTGCGACTGACACTATTCAAAAAATGCGTAGCAACGTTGAAGCGATGGAATCGGAGATGGATCAGCTAACTAAAAATGTTTCAACCATTTCAAATATTTCTCGGGATGTTGAGTCTGCGCTTGGACCAAAACGAGATAAAATTGAAAAACTCTCAGAAGTTCATGAATTATTAAAGAAACATCAATCAATCTGATGAAAACAATTTGATGATGATGAATTAAACCTTTAATAAACTAAAAATTTAAGCTTTAAGTAGTTTGATGTTTCTAAAATTATGCGTAAATGGAATTCGATAGTCGATCGGAGACTCCACTTTTTGATAAATAAAGAATTCGTTAATTAGATTTTTAATTTACATATATTATTATTCTCATTTATGATAAATTTATTGTATAAAATTATAAGTTTAAAGTTTCCGTTTTAACTTGAGTTGTTGAGTTGGCTTTTGCTTTGGCGAGCAGTTTTTTCTTTGTGTCTAGATCATTTTCCAACTTTTCCACGTGACGTTTTAACTCCAACATATTTACAATGCCTTTTTGAAGTTCTGCCCATTTTGCACAAACAGTTTCAGTAGCCATGTTAGGACGTGTGTCTAATATAAAGAAGAAATAATCAGATTAAAAAAATTTGATTTATTAAAATATGAATATTTGAACGAGTAAATATACTTACTTAGATGACATTCTCCCAAGTACTTGGTAACTTTATTTATTGCGCTTTGTTTAACTGGTGGGATTTTTTGGCTTCGAACAACAACACCAGGTGGTAATTTTTCACGCCGAGGAGCATTCGGTGGATATGCATCGGTAGGTGAATGAACTAAAGAAATAAAGACGTGTGAGGTATTATTGAGAATTAACATCATGTGTCAAATTAATTTTTACAAAAGTTTCCTACCCTCCATTGTTGATGTTCCGACGGAGGATGACGAAGAGCGTCGCATTTTTTTGTTGGGGGGAGATTCAGCTGAATTTGCGAAGAATGCACCACTTGTATCGGCAGTTGGAGTTGTAGGACCACCATTGAGCAGAGACTTCTTTCGTTTGGGAGGCTAAATAATAATATTATTATCATTATTACTAATGATGACATTTCTAATCGCAATAAAGATGATACAAAAACAGGGTTTATTACCGATGGATTTATATCTTGGAAATTTAACATTTTTAATAAATTTTCTCGCTCTTTTGAAAATTTCTTTTCATTTTGTTCTATTCGTTCATACTCTTGAAGCAAGACTTCCTCCTCCTAAATAATCATTGTAAATTTAAATGATCTAAAAATAACAGGATTTTTATGCCAGCAAACTTTCATATTTCAAATACCTTGATCTGCTCGGGGGTTCTGTTAAACAAATATTCTAAATTCTTTTTCCTTTCAATTTCTCTCGCTGTGTAATTGGCATTATAAAATTAATCGAGTTTTTTTATGTTATGGATAAATATTATAATACGAAATTTCGTGGATAAATAAATACCTTTATCGAAATTGTATATGGAACTAATATTATCTTTAGATCCGCCGCCTGCATTAGCTCTAGAAGTATTAATTTCTTTCGTTACATAATAATAGCGCTCTTTAAGATCCTGATATAGAATACAATAAATCACATAAATATAACAAAAGAATAAAAAATTCACGATTCATAGAATTTTATTAAATACCTCCATTGTCCTTCGCTTATTAGGCCACTCATACCGATCTGCAATAACAAGAAATCTCAGATCATATTTTCTACATAATTCGAATAGGTAATCGGTTTCTTCCTTTGTCCAGTCTGTCTCTACAAAAAGGTGAATTATGAAATGTAAAGTTTAATTTTTTGCATGATATGTCGATAGTGCAACAGTTAATTTTTAATAGATCAAGAGATAAATCAATTACTTACCGTTATTAAATAAATTATTATACTCTTGTTCAGCATAATCGATTATATTTATTACTTTATTGAATTCATTAAATCGATATGCTTCAAGATGGCAAGAATCAAGTTAATGATGATTCATAATAAATAGACTTCGAATGTACGTGTGAAATATTGTAAACCTTGATTCTCATCCTCGCTCGCTTTTACCCAATGACGCAATTCAAGGGTATCATCACGAGCTGGATTGGTGAATGCTCGATAATTCCTTTTTGTAGAAGATAATCTCGCTCGTTAATATTTTTACATTGCTATAAAAATCAGCACCATATAAAGAACATAAGTTTAATTTACCAAGCAACTGCTTTCTTTCGTAGATTAGGTTTCGCTTTGAATGCTGGTTTTATGAAAGCGACTGGCGGCGGACCCCCAATGAGTTGAAATAGTTCACGACTTATCCCTTCTGAAACAAAGTAGATAATATTTATGAGTATCAAGGAATAATTTCCATTGATTTCAATCCACCTGTACATATACAAGCAAAAGTTCAAAAAGAAAATTGAAAATAAAGATATTGAGGTGTTTAAATCAAATTGAATCTTTACTTTTTTCTAGATCAATATGAATTCATTTAGATCTTAATCATTTTATAACACGAACCAGGTTTCTTTTCTTTTTCAATTCTCATAGGTTTTTTCACAGATCCTTCAGCATTGAGGCCAGACAACCCAAGAATGTCACGCACATCGTTACTTGCCATAGTTTAGCACTTGATTTGAAAACGATTATTTAAAGGAGGGTTATAATTTCTTTGGTCTCAGAATATTTCCATCGTTACACATGATGTTCCGACAGATAGCTGTTTATAATTTTATAAAGTCTGACATAAAAAAATTCGGAATGTTTGTGTTACATTCTCTGTTGAATTGCTCTAAGCTCTAAGGTTTTCAAAAGTTGCGAGTCCTCCACTCTCATGATAGAGACTATAGTGAAAAATGACAGATACTTTAGACGAGCCAAACCTTTATATTGGCAAGTATCTGTGCTTATTATATATTCAGTTTCGACAACATACAAGTCTTTCTCATTTTTTTTTCTATTACCTTATTAGATTATAAAGTTTTTCTTTCTAGTAATTTTGACCCAAAAGTATATGCTAATTCGACCATAAATGAGTCGTCAGATGGTGAAAATGATATTACTATATCTTTGGCAAAATTGTCCTTTAGCATAGACAATCTAACAAAACAATTACATGATGAGGTATAGGATTAATTTTTTGCTCTTGATCTTAAATTAAAATAAATAAATAAATAAATATATATTTACACTGAAATTTAATGTGATAGGTAGTCACACATTTCGAGGATTTACTTTTGCAAGTAGCGGATATTCGCGAATTAGATTATACTCTAAAAGTCGTCAGAAACGGAATTGAAAATTTGAAAAAATCTTTAGAAAGGTTTATCATTTTTCGAACAATGTTGGATATTAAATTGTTTTCTTTATTGTCACTAATTCTTTTGGTGATTGTGCAATTATTATTGGTTTGAATGTGGATAGTTTACAAGCAAAAATCTACGCTCCATTCACACAAATAAAAAATTATACTATTCAGCTGGAGCGATTACAAACCGCAATTGAACTATTAAGAAGGGTTTATACATTTATGGAAATTTCAACGCGACTTGAAATCCAATTAGCCGAAATCGATAACATCAATTCGGCTACAGTGACTCAGTATGAATTGATCGCGGCCATTCTTGGTGAATTGGGTATGAAATGTCCTAATGTCATTTTAGATATATATTAATAATATTTAATTATTCCTTTAATATAATGAGATTAGAAGTCTTGTTGAAGGATGCGGATTTTGAAGGTATAGAGATAGTTGAAGATCAATTGCCATATATTAATCAGATAAAAGAGCGGGTTAGGGATGAAGCGGTCAATATGTTGTACGATGGGATAAAAAACAAAGTATTTTTTTTCTTTACACGTACTTTTTTGAACCTTTGCATCTAATGCAGTACTAATCTCCATGTCGTTATTTAAAAGGATGAACCGAAAATCGCGTCTAGTCTTCGTATCTTAAATAGTTTATATGAATTGGCAGCTCGTGTCATAAGATTCTCGGATGAAATATTGGAAAATTTATCGCTTAATATTCATAATGGATTGGATGTTGTTGCCATTCAGAAAGAAGTCAAAGGTTGTTAAATTGGATTCCGCATAATGCTTCGCGAATATATAACATCTTAAATAAAAATAATCTGCTGCAGATGCTAGTACTGGGCAGAAAGGAATGCGAAGATTAGGAGTGGACACTGTATCGGGGACGACGACATTATGGGCAGCAGCTATTTGGAAAAGAATGGAAGTGATAATGAACGAAATTGGTGATGGATGTCGTAAGGTTAATTTTAATTTTAACAATAATTTATATATTATTTTTTACAAATATCTTTCAGATTTTTAACAATAAAATGGTTTTTATTTAAGATTTATCTCTTAGAGAGTGTTATGGCGAATGAAAAAGATTCAACGAATCAAATCTCATTTCTTGATGAAGTCTTAAAGGTAAATTGTTTTTTGCCAAATTTTTGTATTAATAATCATAAACGTGAATAACTAATTGTTCCCTCGAAAGATTCTCGATAGTGGCCTAGTTCAACATTTTTGGAAAATTCTTTCAGTGAATTTCGAAAAAGAATTAAAGGAATCAAGTAGAGGTGTGTTACATGATATGATGAAAGGGATTAACGCTTGAGCAGGTTGGTTTTCAAATAGTTTGCAGAATAAATGAATCACGATTTAATTCGATCACCCTATAAATAAGGTTCATCCTTTGTCCAACATGCATTGGTCGGTGGATATCCAAAACTTCTTTCTTTGTTTCAGGATTTTTTTGCGAGAATCGAGACAAATGAGGTTAAATCTAAATCTGAGGAATTTCAGAGGTAAACTTTTGGAACGATAGCTCAGACTTCCTTCTTTTGATCTCCTTTAAGATACTAATATCATTAACTTCTAAAAATGATGTTTAGTCAAGCATATTTAGTAATGTTACATAGTATATCGAGCTTTGAATCTGGATATTTGACACGCTCAGTGACACGAATGTATGAACCTATTAATTCAACATTCTCCACCGGTCTTTTACGCTCTTCACCGTCGAAAAACGATATTTCAAATATTGTCAAAATTATGTCGAGGTGAGAATGAATCCATACTATAGAAAATTCTGGTAATGTGAATCACTTGCTAATTGTGACTACGTATAATATAGTGAATTGGAAAATGCTAAAGCTGATACACAACTGATGAAATCCGTAGCGAAAAATATCATCAAGGCATTAAATCATGCTTGTGTCAAGGCAGAATCTATGGTTCTCAAGTTATTCTCTGTTCTATATGCGAATTTATTTTGTGATCTATGTATTTCCTTAACATTATATTCTCCATTAGTCGGCTAATGATCCATCAGCTTATCAAGTTTCTGGTAATGGCCCAGCCACGTTCTCGCAAAACTCTAATTTCGAACTGGTCAATGCAATATATTTTTTGTATCAGTCCTTATGGAAAATGTTAGAAGATTACCCTGATGTCATTGAAATCATTTCAGAATCTATAGAGGTGATTTTATTTTCGTGACTTTATTTTCGTAATATCTTTTATGTAATTATTCATTAAATTAATTTTATAATGTTTTAGCGTTTAAAAAAAGTTATGTTCAACATTATGGCGCCATTAATAGACCACATAAAAAAGGATCTCGAGACAACAATATTAAAAATCTGCAAAGAAGATTTTTCAAGGTTCAAATTGTTTGAGAGCAAAAATAAATTGAAGTTTTGAATAATTTATAATTATTTATTTTTCAGCAGAAATCAAACATCGAAACCATTTCTTCATCCGCAGGCTGAAGCTCAATGCAGTCCTTACATGACTGAATTCACTAATCGCTTAAGATACCATCAGAAAGAATTTCTTTCTCGATTTTCTTTTGGACAAGAAGGGAAAGAGTGGTAATTTGTTAATACTCCAGTATTTATTCACTGTTCTTATCTTTCCTACCATTATTCAATCGGTATTTTGTCTATGCTTCTGTAGGATAAAGGGAATATCTAAGCGGATCTTATATTTTTGGCTTCTTCAGGCTAGCATGATGCGACCGTTGAATGAAGCAGGAAAATTAAAACTCACAAGTGATATTACCCAACTTGAATTTTCTTTGAATCAATTATTAGCTGAGCATGGATTAAGTCTCAATGAATTAGGTCAAGAGTATAAAGCTTTACGAGCTTTCAGGTATGATTAACGATTTACATGAAGATTCATGAAGCATATACTCTTGTTGATTAAAACTTTACAATTAATTGATTTTTTAAAAACAGGCAACTACTCTTTCTTGATAATTCTCAATTGGTTTCCACTCAACACACATCCGCTGTACCACCACTTATCTTGATACATCATATCATTGTGCGGTCTCCCCTTAATACTCTACAGCTTCCACATAAGAACTTTGGATGGTCAGAGGCAGAATATTCGCGTTGGTTGGACGAACACACAGAAATTGAATGGATTGATTTGATAAAGGGAACATTGTATACTGATGAATCGAAAAGTAATGGTACAGATGTAGGCTTGGAAGAACCCGAAGAAGCGTTAATCAAAATGATATTAAAGGAACGCGCTAGGGTTGAATTTTAGCATGGCGCACTTGATTACATATAATTATTGAATGTGGAATTTATATTGAGAAATTTATATACTTTCAAAAATTATGATATTTTTTAGAATAAAATTTTTTATTTAATACAAACAATATAAATATATATAAACCGAAGACACCGAAATTCCAGTCTTAACGTTGTTTAAAATAATCCAAAAGTACGTTCCTAGCTTCGGAGTCTTCACCATAATCTTTGACAACTACGCAAGAGCAACCGACCACTTTTCGAGGATTTCCCTCACGATCAATTTTACAAAGACCAGCCCATTCACCTAATTTCTTTGCATCTGATATTTTGATAAGATTTATATTGTGTTCGGAGCAAAGTGCTTCTACCAATTTCAAATAATCTTTATCGGTGCATGTTTCGACCAAGACACACAAATGAGCTTGGCGCCTTTAGACAAAGATATTTAGTGTAAATTGATGCAATTTTTGTTTAATAGATCAAAAAGATCTTTCTCACCTGTCCAAAGCTTTGGCGCATTCTCTTAACCCACGAGCCAAACCATCAACTACAAGTGCACGTTTTAAGACATCCTGAAGCGCCTCTTCTACGGTCTTTTAATATTAATCAGGATAAAAATTTAATCTTCTTGATAAACTAATAGTAAAATCCTCAAGGCTTAGTATATCAGCTAAATTTACCATTTGTCCTTTGGGTGCTTCGGATGTAACTTGTACTTCTTCTGTGTCCTGGACAACTCCAGTTTCCTCTTCTTCAACAGCAGCATCATCTCGGTCCATTTTTTATATTATTTACTGGCTGATATATGGTATTGGACGTCTTCACTTTATTACATATAAGATAAACAATTAATTCTGTTTACACACGCCGAATTTCCTAAGATTAATTAATGGATGGATGTTTCTTTAACTTACATGATGTGTATTGTAAGAATTGTAAGAATAACTTCTCGAAACAATAAAAATCTTATGGATAGAATTTTTTTCAAACGGTTTTTTTTTCAAGATCGCGTGATTTTTTACACGTGAATCATAATGACTGATATTTAATTGTTAAAAAAATAACCAACTTTTATCATTATTGAATAGTTTAAATATTATTAATATCGCCGAAATATTTTTTGGTCGGTTTGTGCAAATGACTTTTCTTTGTGAGTAACACGTGCTTTGGTAAAGCAACAACTATAGATTTATCTCCTCCAAATTTGAAGCTATCCGCAACAACATCGTCCACGTAACGTTTTATGTGATAATCGTATAATTTTCCCCTTTTGAGACTTAGGAAATTCCAAGTGATTACATATGGACCAGTACTAGGAAATTAGATGTGTTAATAATAGTAGTTAGGAAATTGTTTTATTAAAAAAGTTATTATTGAGTTTACCTAGTAACAATTGATTTTTCTTTCAAAGTTGAAGAAGTCCCCATATTGAATCGAGCGGGGGTGAAGCAAACCTAATGGGCAATATAATAATTTTAGTTATATGAAATGGAATCTATATTTATGGAAGAATAACAACTACTTACATCCACTTGCATCATTTTTATGTGTTCAGGTCTTAAATGCAATCTTATTCCCTTAGGCTAAAAAAATAGAAGATTAGAGATAACAAAATAAACTTATTAATTATTTACGGTTTACTAATAACCAACCTTCGCATCTTTTGCAAAGCTCTTTTCGAATCCAGTCCTGTCTTCTCCCGCAAGTTGTGTATTTATAAGGAGGAGGTAAGTTCGACAAGTGGCCACAACATATTTTCCATCTGAAGTCACATCAACTCCAATAATCGGATCTCCCAAGCCCGTCAAATTAGTCTTTGCATTTTTTCCAAGAGTGTCGTATAATTTAACTTCACCCTTTTCATTTCCTACTGCAATGTGTCCCTTTTCGTCAGTTGCAGCACATGAGAAATTGTTCTTTGTCAGGTACTGTTTACGACTAGAGTCAACCAGTTTATATTTCGAGTTGAGACGAGGGTCAATTCGAAATATGGAATTGTGTGATAATCCGATGAGAGTTTTTTCTCCCGTCATTTGTGCAAATTTCTTCTCGGGAACAATATTTGTGCATGGAACGACATCGTGCACATCCCATTCCTCAACTATTTTTCCGTATTCCAAATCCATTTTGTAGAGACTGTGTTCATTTTGTCCATTCATTAGAATTAATGATGAATCTTGTTCATGTAGCATAACCTGTGAAGAGCATAACAAATTGTTATTTACTGTGAAATATTAATCTCACCGGAGGAAATTATGCCATACAAGATTTTACCTTTCTAGGACTGAACGTTTTCCCAGAAGAATCCGCAATATTCTTTATTGAACTTATATGTTCGATACTATCGTCATCTGTATGTCTGAAAACGCCAATATTATGACCCTTCACAACAAACGATCTATTATGTTTATATCCAACAGCAAGATGACTATTATTTTCATTATCGGTATCCGCATCTTGTCCATTCGTGTCATTTCGATCAGCTTCACCCTCGGAGCTTGAATCCTCGTCTACAAATCGGAAAAGCTTGATTTCAGCAAATATTCTTGGTTTCGAATAATGAAACAATTCCGAAATTATTGTACTCTACCATCTGAATCTTCCCGAATCGCATCTGGCATCTCTACATCGTCATCATATGTACTAATCACGTATTCTTGATCCTCTTTCTACATTAAAACGAGGTAAATTTTTAAATTAAAGCACAAAACCAAGAATCAAACAGCAAATAGTATTATTCTAGATGCAAACTTTAATCGAGGAAAATTTAATCTCATGTAATGCTTCAAACATAGCTCGCGCAAATACTGCTCTAAAAGTTCTCATTTTCTCGAGGCTGTCAAAACGAAGGGACCAAGAATATATCTCTCCCCCTTCTATAAATTTACACGGGATAGATTTGGTTTGTAAATAGAATAGCAGCAAATAATTCAGCAAGTTGCAATACCATCGTAATGACACCAAATTAAACACCAATTTTCCTATATCCAAATCAGAATAGTTAGAATACGGAAATTTAATAAATTACAACCGAAATTAATATGTAAGCTTACAGTACTAAAAACCGGATTCATATTTGGCTGAAGTTTTTGTCCAACAAGATTAGTTTTAGCATCATCAAAGATATTCAGCCAGTCTACAAAAATAATATTCATAAAAAATGTCAATTCAAAATTCAAAATCTTTTATACAATTCTTTCCAAAAATAAAAAATATACATTGGAAATTGTTGCCCTGGAGCAGCGTTGTTGTTACTTTAGGTGCATACTCAACAAAAGTTAATGTGGCAGCATCAAACAGATATAAAGCAGCCTCGATGCTCACTAATGTATCGAGACTTGAATATGAGTCAGGCAACTCTGATTTTCCCGTTTTACGACTCGGTGTTGATTGTGAAGAATTTGATATTACAAGAGGTGTAGTAACCGAAAATGAGTCAGGAGATCGTGCGTGAACTGAAGTATGCGTAGGAGTGGATGGACGTTCATTCACGTGTTTCGGTCTGTGTAAATGATTAAATATATTTTAGATTCACGCGTTGTAAATCGATATTTAATTTGCCTCCAACTTACACATAAATAAAACTTTGAATATCCTCTTCACTGGCGTTTTCGTGAGATTTTCTATATTTTCGCTCGTACATACAATGATACATAGTATACTCGAATGTTTTCACAGTGTGCTCAGACACTCTCAAATCACAAACGAATTCAAATAAATCAATCGAGTTTTCCAAGGCGTCTTCACCGAGATTCTTCCATATAAAAGTTTTGAATCCTTCAGTTTCTCCTTTGCGAAATTCCAATGCTTCGTCAATTAAAAACGCCTTTTCAGTATCTTCTATTATGAAGAATTTTGCTTTTATTATTAAAAAATCCTTTTTATATAAATAAAGATTGCAAATTGATATGTAAATTTACCCTCTTCTTCTTCATCATTTTCAATTTCTTCTTCGCCTTCTTCGAAAATCCTAGAAATCACTAATTGATACTGCCATTCTTGTTGTGTTCGACGTATAGTTGCTTGGGAATCCCTATATCTAATTTTGTGAAGATAATATATAATGAGAAGCATGTAAATATGTTAAGATATACCTCTTACTTTCATACTTACATGCATTCTCGAGTAACTTTGGAATTCTCAGGTCTAATGCGAACTAACTGACCAGTGCCAATTTGAAAGAGTTCAGGGTTGTCGGGATTACCTTTATGCAAAAGTCTAATTATTATAATGCTTTATTGTCTCGAAACATCATAAAGAACTTATAGTAGTACCCCAAATTAGTTTTCCTATGTTTTTAATTAGGAGCATTGGCACGAATTCACTTTAGAAAACACACTGTCCAAAAATAGCAGTGTTTTTAATATATGTATTATGACTATTAATTATGCAAATTTCATTATTGCTACGCAATCATCATGTGATTTCTAAAAATTTTTCTTGGTATTTTTGATATATAAATGTTCCGCAGTTCATATTATCCCCCACTTTTTTCCATTATAATCAGCCAATTTCTGCGCACAGAATTGCTATACTGAGTGGCTGTATAACTAAATCTTTGTTATATAAAGAAAAATTACTTTCGTTCCCAATATATTTCGATAGAAAACAAAGCGGAGATAAGTTTACAAACATATACCAAATATTTGATTTAGTCGAAAATAACTTGCTAAGTCATAAATAAACATGCCGAAAAATAAAGGAAAGGTAAAGCATGTCTTTGATTTGCATATTACATTGATTTTATTTTCCAATTCCCAATTGATTACTTATTTTACTTGTGCGAATACCTGACCAGGGAGGTAAAAACAGGAGAAGAGGGAAGAATGAAAATGAGTCTGAAAAAAGAGAATTAATTTTCAAGGAAGATGGCCAAGGTAGATTTAATATTTTTTCCTTCCCGTTATAAGGTTTATCGCATTCTGCCTTTCTAATTGAAACCGCCTTAAATTATCTTTTGATTCACTTTATCTGCCTTTCTTCCATAAATTACTGCGCCCTGAATTATCTACGTAAAAATTATAGAGTATGCACAAGTAGTTAAAATGCTCGGCAATGGTCGTCTGGAAGCTCAATGTTTCGATGGGGAGAAGCGATTAGCACATATCCGTGGAAAACTACGGAAAAAGGTATATAATCAAATAAGTTAATCTGAATGATATTCGCGTAAATGTATATATTTATATATTTATTATTGGAAATTAAATAGGTTTGGATTAATCAAGGTGATATTATACTTATTTCACTGCGTGACTATCAAGATGCCAAAGCCGATGTCATTCTAAAATATACTACTGAGGAGGCTAGAAATCTTAAAGCATACGGTGAATTACCAGAGAATGGTAAGTTTTTTTATGTTTTCTTTTTTCTCATTAGAGTTTCTTTAATGTTCATTAATTAATTCTATTGGTTTATTTTATAAAATAGCCAAAATCAATGAAACAGATACTTTTGGCCCCGAAGACGAAGATTGTCCGTTTGACTTTGAAATCGACGATGTATGTATTTTTTGTAAATAGTGGTTTACAAAAGTTATTAAAGTTACTAATAAAATTTTCTTCTATTAACAGATTTAACCATAAAATATGAAAAAAAATTTTAAATCTTCAAAAGTATTAGAATAATTTTTCCTTGGTAGAAAAGATTGGAGGGAATGTTATCTGTGCGCGAACGTTTAAAATATGTATTACAAATTTATTAATATAATGATATTTTATAATGATATGTATTCTTTAATAAATCGAATAGTAAGCATTTAACAAGATTTTACCAACTTTATTTATACTTGCCTATCTAATTATCTAATTAATTAATTAGCTCAATATAGAAATGAGATATACATTGTTTTGCAAAACAACAGCAGCAGAAAAATTCTAGCATTTTCAATATGAACATAGAACTCCTAATTTTTATACTTATTTTAATATTGAAATATATATAATATTTATTTAATCATATATGTATATCTGATTATACTTTAATTATGTATATATATTTTTTATTTTTAATTATATATAAAATAATAGAATATTTGAGTTTTTACTAGATTGATTATTAAAGTTTTTATATTCTTTTTAATTGTATATGAAAAATAATATAACACTTGAATTTTTTAGTAAAAAGACTAAATGTTCTATTTTAAAAAATATTATGACGAAGTGGAATATGCGATACCTAGTGATATCAGAATCGCACGAAAATATCACCATTTGATTCGCCATAATTAGACGAATCGAATGGTGGTAATAATTTTGTGTGAATTTTTAAGTGCGATATCGCAATATGGCACGGTGATTTTCAATAGTGATATCTCGATACTAGTGATCTAATCACGTGAAAATACCACCATTTTGATTCGTCTAGGCATTACGAATCAAATTGTGGTCAGTATAACAATCACTAATTAGAACTTTATTTTATTATGTGACAATTGAGAGATAATGTTCTAGCAAACAAAGAATATTGTCCGATCACCAGCCCGGATTATTAGCCGCAGTAAATTTTGTATATACCGTAAAGTCCTTAGACCCCAAAAGTCTTAGAAAAGTTGAATAAGCAACCCCTATTTGCGATAGTAATTTTTAATATATAGCAGTAAATGTTTT